CAACGATATGTAATCTTGTCAGAACAATTTTCAAGTCCTAAATCTCAATAATGTTATAATTTTACTAGAATATCATAATAATCTCATAAGAAGTGCAATATTGGTTATTTTGATGATAATGGCATCTTCTTGCTACATCTGGAAACGTGATATTCTCAATCCAATACTTTATGTTCTCCATCAATGAAAATGAATGACAATAGGTTTTTCTTCGTTGAATCATATAAATCGTATCCTTGCGAGTAACTTATCGTCGTTTAACCACTGTGCGGTCTCATTTGAAGATTAACACATCGAAAATAGAGATAATTTCCGAACAGGAATGTCCTTTTTTTTGCATGGGATGTGGTATCTCATATATGAAGTAGCCCGATCGATTCGCTTGATTTCCGGCGCGTCGACGAAACATAATCGCGACACGCCGTGCTGCCAGGAGTTGCAAGCTGAAGAAGAGGAGGAGAAGGAGAATGAGAAAGAAGTAGTAGTAGTAGTGTAGTAGTAGAAGAAGAAGAAGACGGATGAGCCGATTCGCGTGTATGCAACCTTATCCATGAAATTACACCTTTCAGCTCTACCTTGTATTATTGCAAAAAATGTAACCGCAGCTATGTCAAGGATATCGATTCGCCGACGTACCTCAACGAGGAGGAGAAACTGCGGCCCGGTTAATCACCCGACGGAGCATTTTGTTAAGTGGCCGCGTGATGTGTTTCAATTTCTTTCTTTTTTTATTCCAACGACGCGCCAAATCGACGCGCCGTAAACGCCTGGACGTTTTTGGTCGCGTGCGTGCACAGTCGTGACGTTCAATTATTTCCCGATCAAGATTCTCCCCGTGAGAGACCAGTAGAGAGAGAGGAGAGGGGAGAGAGAGAGAGAGAGAGTCGCTAATCGACCCTCTTCGTAATTATCCGCGTCGTGACCGCCTGATTAATTTCATTTGGGCGCCGATTGACTCGATGAATCCTCGCCGACCTAACTGAGCGTCACTGAAAAGAGAGTTTATTCTTACGTGCCAACGCTCGTTGAGCTTTACCGTGAATATACACAAGACCGTGAGGTAAAAAGCACCGGCGATTTCTGGCTGACGGTTTTTGCCCGGCGTGGTAGTTTCGGGACGATTTCTTCGTAATATATCTCCGCTAAAAGAGAGAGAGAGAGAGAGAGAGAGAGAAAGAGAGAACGAGAGGGACTCCGCGAGTTGTGTGCACATCAACGGCGTTACACGTCGTCTTAATTAAGCCCAATGGATCGTTACATGTTCCGTGTTGTCGGTTTCAGGCTCGGCCCAGCCTCGGTCAATCCCGACGTACGCTCCATTCACGAAAGGAGAAGGCGGGGGAGATAGAGGCACACACATAATTGTCATGTCAAAATTGTGTCATAGAATGAAAAGAGATTGTGTGAAGACTTTTAATCAATTAATTCATTTTGCACAAATGATCTAAAAGATTGCATAGTGAAGATAAGTTACTTGCAAGAATACATTTTACATGATTCGACGGAGAAAAGCTTGTGTTCTTATTATTAAAAAAATAATTTTCATAATATTAATTCCCATTAATAAAAAGTACGAGGTATATGCTACTTCTGTTTTAGAAACTGAAAAGCTCCTAAAATATAAAAATATACGATAGTTATCGGAAAATTTATTTTAAACGAAATTTATATCATGTTTTTTAGTAATATAAACCATACTGACAGTATTTTTCTGCATTACTAGGAACATAGTAAAATTGAAAATAATTTACATAGAACATTAAAGCAAATTAGAAGAAAAATTCACATAAAAGTTCAATAATTTCATAAAAGTATGAAAATTTGAGAAGTTTCAGAACATTGTGAAAATTCGTATGAAAATATATAGAATATTAAAAAAAATTACACGCGACAAAATTCATATAGAAGTAAAAAGAAAATAGAACTAGAATATTTTTCCCGTGTAGAATAAACGTTATACATTAATCATCAATCATAAAGTCATTAAAGAAGCGTGCAAAGCGAAAGTTTTCAGACAGAGATGATGTTCCATCAGGCATCCTCTCTCTTTCTTTTGTTTTCTCTTCTTACGTCGCGCTTGTTTACTAAGCCTCGCGATATCTCCCCACTTATTTAAAACGCGTAAAAGAGCGAAGTTATCGCGTCGCGTCGATAGGAAACGACGTGCACCGGCACACGTCAGGTTCTCTGAATGTTAATAAATTCGATCGGCAGGAGGTGAGCTCGCTAGAGACTAATCGCGCGCGGCGTCTTAACGCAAATAGAATCGCGGTATCTACGCATCCATGTTAATCGGATCATACTAATCCGTCCCGGATTGTATAATCACGGACTTACCACGAATCACCTTTGAGCGCGCGTCAAGCTCGACCATCGAGAGGAGGACTGGAAGTGGAGATCGACGGAACGAAAATGAGATATCACAGGCCGAAAAAAATCGGCGCGATTAATTATATGCGTATTATTGCTCGCGACTGACACCCAATTAAATCCCATTAAACCCCAGCGCGCACGTTCATGCGGCACAAAGAAAATAATGTGGATGTCATTAGCCACTTTGTTGCCGCCGCGATCAAACAGGGGCTTTTTCTAGATTTCGCTTGCGCGCACGCGCGCTTAATCGAATGAAATGTATTGCGCTTCGCCGGGAGAGCCCGCCAAATTAGCTCGCGGCGAGTGGGTTTCATAAAGCTTCGAAAACCCGCCTTTGTCGGAATTCAATGGAATGCGGCTGTTTTAAACGCGTACGCGCCCGATCTTTCCCTATTAAATTTAATGGGCTTCATTTGCACACGCGCGGAGCTGCAAAAAGCTACAATGTGTCACATGCACGGGAACGCGGAATACGTGCAAACGCGAGCCTCCCTCTGCCTGTCTCTCTAAAAAGTGAAGGAAACCGTGGCTCAAAGGAAAATTAGATCCAAAAGGACGAAAGACCGCTGCGCACCGTGGATTTCACTGTTAGTGAGGAGGGGAGCGCGTAGTACGCGAGAAATGTCGATGACGCGCAAAGAATCGAAGCGATTCCTACGAGACGTCAGCGGTCTCGGCCGATAAACGCTCTTGACTGGTCGATAAACGAGTCGCTCTATCGTGTCTGCACTCTTGATGCAAAGAGGAAGAAAAAGAAAGGGAGGACAGACATGCGTCTCGCAACTTCGGCGAAGGTGCTGTGTTCACCGGGGACTGAGGGAGACGAGACGAAACCTAACCGCCAATTGCCCGCTGGAATTACAGAAAAATCGACCACGCCAACTTATGTTTCCGTGACGTCTGCGTGCGATTCCCGTCCGTGACAACAACACGTGATACCAGCGTCGTCGTGGAGAACGAGCTAGAAGTGCGTCTCGCGACGTAAAAACTGCGACGCTGTGCAGCAGCGACGACGCGCCGTTCGCGAAGGTGTGAGAAGGAGCGCGTCGTCCGCTCGCAATGACGTTTAGGCGTGCTCTGTGGGAACGCGACGTGCGCGACGGAAAATGCATCCGTCTCTCGCCGTTACTCCGGGTGCGTGCGTGCGTGAATCGCGCGCGCGGGCGCGTATACTGCGAGTAGAGACGGATGCAAGGGGAGGTGGAAGAAGAGAAGAGATGCACGGGGAGAGGAAAGATTCTCTAAGCAAATGCAGGTAGCAGACGCGTGCGTGCGCTTACGTACCGTAGCGACCTCAGGCACGTACGTACGCAGCAAACTAACTTGCTTTCTTTCTTTCTCTTTCTCTCTCTGTCTGTCTGTCTGTATGTATCAGTCTCTCTCGCACGATTTCTTGGAAGAACGATCACGTTTGTCGAAAAACCTGCGTCGCCGCTGACGCGAGACCTCGTCGCTTGGCCTGTCTCACCTTCGCGAAACAAACATCGGGTGACACAGTTTTCTCGGCGGCCGGCGCGACGCCGCACGTTGTTGCGCCTTCCTTGCGCGACAAGTCGCCGCCGAGGCGAAAGGAATGTTACGCGAGAGAGAGAGAGAGAGAGAGAGAGAGAGAGAGAGAGAGAGAGAGAAACGATCACCGTTCGCGCGCCGCCTCCTCTTCCTCCTCCTGCTCCTCCCGCGCTCACGAGAAGGGTCGGCCGGGAAAGGAGGAGGCGGGAAGTACCGCGCCGCGATTTCCTCGGAATTTTCGTGGAGCTGCGCTCGTGCCGCTACCTCGACAAACAGCGCGGCTGCACCGAGAACGACATGTCTCTCTCGCCTTGCGCGAAGACAGACCCGTGATATTACGTGTGAGAACGGGAGAAAGATCAAAAGTAAGAGAAAGAAGAGAAACGACGGGACTCGGCGTGCCTGCCTGCCTCTCTCTCTCTCACTCACTCCTTCGCGGTCACTCCTCGTCCTCCTCTTTTCCTCTTCGTTCCTCCCACTCGTTGTTCTCTCTCTCTCTGTGCTTACGCACGTATATATATATATACACATACGTACATACATACATACGCGCTCTTTTTCTCTCGATCTCGTACGACACGGCATACCGTAAGACTTCGGAGGTCTGACGTGAATCAGGCATGACATTGGCTGCGACACAACAAACTTGAGATCTCACTGAGGCGCACATACACGCGCGTACGTGCACGCACACGCGCGCACGGGAGAGAAAAAGAGCGCGGGAGTGGGGGAAGCGAGATAGTCAGGCAATACACAACAGCAGCGCGACCGACTACGGCGACGACGTCGACGTTAACGTCGACGACGGCGAGCACTGGCCGCGAATATAGGTTAACGTACGGAGCGACGTTCAGCGGGTGGTCGCGCTCTCGCCGTCGCCGCTTGCATCGTCGTCGTGCCGCGACGTGACGTATCTCGCGCTTTACGATGCCGGCGGCCGAGAGCGGGCCAGTCGTTCCGTTTCCCGAGCGATCGTACCGTTCGCGAAGAGAGCGGGCCCGATGTCGACGTTGTCGACATCGGGACCGGGACTCACCGGCGAACGATGAACGCGAGCGAGCCCCCTACGTCGCGGTCGCGGCCCGTCCGCGGCGGCACAAGCGACGACGATCACTCACCAGTGCGAAGAAATTCGTGTGGCAGTCCTCCAGGCTGGCGCCGTTGGTTTGATGCGACGGATGCGTCATGGCTTCTCCATCGTACGCCGCGCACGCATTAGTCTAACACACGCGTCCGACGAAGGCGAGCTTCGACGTTGGGATCCTGGGCGGTCACACTCGCGAGAAATCCGCGCTACGGCCGCGGGCCGCGCTCAATCACTCGACTCGTACATTTAGGAGGGTTTTCACTTCTCAATGGCGACCGTAAAATGGCGGCGGGCGGCGATGGGAAACAACAAGCGCAGCCGCGCCGGGCGCGCCCCCTAACACTCACTGCCGCAGTTCCAGTCCCCGTCGACGGCTACCGCCGTCGCTGTTACCGTTGCCGTTGCTGCTACCACCACCACCGACACCACTGCTGCTATTGCTGCTGACAACACCGTGTGCACGGCTGCGACGACGACGACGAGTGCGGAGAAGATGGCGGCGCTCATCAGGCATGGCTTGCTCGCCAACGCTCTCAAGAGTACCTCGATCACCGTACGCACCGCCACCACTAACAAGGTCAGTCAATCACACTCCCTACACGCACGCACAACACGGAACACGACGCGCGCACTCGCGAGACTCACCACGTCACACGACGCACGCCGACGATGAGAGCGATCGCGATAACGACGATGAGGACGACGACCGAGTCAGCGGCTCCGTCGCTGCAGCAACGGACTCGGCACGAGCACGGCTAGTCGACACGCGCGCCACTGACACCAACGAGATCGTCATTTTTTCAGGCGAAAGAGTTTCGTCGCGAGAGGCGTCTGATGGACGTGAGGGCGAGGATCAACGCCGTCCGGGATTCCCTGGGTGCGCGTGGGTAAGTACAATCTTATCCGCGATTCGCGCCTCGCGTCTTCGCCGAATGGTGAAACTCGCGTACTTACGTTGCCGCTGCCTGACTGACGGGGCTCACACCGCGGCCATATTAGTCCGCCGCCACTACCGCCGCGCCTCGGCCAATCTGGCGGATCTTACAGGTCTCCAGTGCCGTATCATTTGCGGGCGCTCTTGTCGCCCGCGAGAAAGTGCAGGCACTTTTTTTCTTTCATGCGCTCGCAACGCATCCGGCGCACGAGTCAGGGCAGTTTGCCCTCCGGAGATTGCCGTTTTCAAGCCGAGAGAATTCGCTGCGTCGCACAGAACTACTTTATTGGCTGCGTGTTATTCCGGAAGATATCCTGGGTAACATGCGACCGGTACAAGTGTAAGCACCTTTTACTCTGCGTTTGGCAGAGTACGTACGCATCCGGTATGTGACAGGACGGCTTGTCCTCGGCGAATCATTGGAATCACAGTCCGGCGAGGAATGTTGCGTTACGCAAAGTCATTTTGTCGATTACGTGTCGCCTGATGAAGATATTTTGGATCATTTGTAGCCAATACAAAATGGCTCGACGTGATAATGCTTCTTGCTGGAAAATAGTTGATATATTTTTTCCCTAAGATTACAAAACGTCCTCGTTTGAGAGAAATTTGAAGATCCGTGGTATGTGTGAACTGTGAAGATTTTTTTTGGGGGGAAATTTTTCTCAAAAGGATGTTTCAAGAGTCCTGCTGGACGTACCAGGAACTCGTGGAGGAGAATGTTTCCTTCGAGGCGAGCTCGATGCGAGACACTCGGCGACCGTTGCGAAATCGCCGGCACTGGCCGGCACCGATCGTAACGTTTTATTTCCTGGGAAAGCGCGCGATGGCAGCACCGTACAATCAGTGGACATCGATCTCCGTTCCCCCTCCTTTCCTTCGTGGCACGTCCCCGCCTCCCTTGGCCGCCACCGTCGTGTGCGGCGCGTCACGTCGGATGTCGTCGCGAAAGAGCAATCTTTTCGCAGCTGCGAAAAGTTTTGCGCGAGTTTCGTTGTACGGGGCGACGATGTCGGGGACTCGACACCGCGGCGAAGACGCGTCCGTTTGGCGAGAAACGCGACGGATACGCGAGAACAATTCTCCCCGTTCTGCCCGCCCACTCTCATCTCGTCGTTTTTCTCCCGCCGGATATTAAATCGATGAGCTTATCTTGAGACGGTCTTGAGGAACCCGAATATTATTCGTCGCGCGAAGGCCGCGGGATTCCATGAAGTCTCAGTTTCTCCGCGACACGGACATGTCTGAGAACAGCTTCTGCGAGACTCCGTTTCGCGAAAAATTCAAAGATACATCGTATAAAATTCGTTGCGAGTTAGACGCATTCAAATCGCGCGCGAGGCGATAATTGTCTTTTTGCCGATATTTCATACCCCAGACAGCACAAAAGTTTCAGGGAACATCTCGAGGACGTTCTTAGGATATAGAAAGTCCTCTGGACGTCTTTGGGACGTACTTTGAAAGTATGCGATGTCTGGGACTGGACGATCGAGATTTCTCGCGTTACAAGTCTCTTCAAGTACGTGATCGACGGAGCGATCATGAAATCGCGCCACATCGTGTGCACGAATACACTTTTCAGATTTCTGAGGCCACAAAGGGGTTATGAGCCACCTGAGGACGCGACCGTGAGATTCGACAAGATCTGCGGAAGTCAAGCGATCTCTCCGGACGACGACGTCAAACTTGAGGATCCTCATCTGCGTTTTAAACTCTTGGTCGCCTGCGAGGAGGAGTTCGAACATAACGTGCCGAATTCGCTGCTTTACACCATCGAAAATATCGGTTAGCGATCTCTGCACTTCGCGTGAAAATAGATCTAAAGAAGATTGATCAAGCAATGCTTGGACACGTACCTGAGCATTCTTATTGTTTTGATCTTTTAAATATGCTGAGAGACAAATATCTGAGAAAATTTTAAAAAATATTTATTAGATGGATGTTAATAATATATTTATCTGAATCTAAATTCTTTTATTTAAGTAGAATAAACAATTTCTCTCGTGAAAAACTAAGACTTTAAGAAAATGTCTATTTTCTTATTTGAGAAATATTTTTTCTCAGTGTAAAAATATATATGTTATATATTAGTGTAAGTAAATATCTGTCATTACTAATGTATGTCATAAATTTATGTCATAAATGTCATTACTATCCACCGAATAAATATTTTATATTTTTTGGATATTTCTTCTCTCATACTTGAACTTTTAACATATATAGAACACATGTATATAAATTGAATATGCACATATATTCTGTATTAAAAATTTAACAAAAATGAAATTTAATGAGTATTTAAAGCAAGAATGTATGTACATATAGAAAGCAAGAATGTATGTACATATATTGAATACATACATACACTAAGAGAAAATGTACGTAAGAAATAGTACATATTTATACATTTGATGTTTATTAATGTGACAAATTTACTTAAATCTAAATTCTTCTAATTAAATAGAACAAATGCTTTTAGGAAAATTTGAAGTTTTCTTTTAAAGTTTTGAGAAAATATATATTTCATTTTTTGAAAAATATTTTATATTAATACAAGTAAATATATGCTGTTAGTACCAATTAAATAAATATTTACTATTTTTTACCTTTCAACACCGAATATACAGTATATATTGAATATATATACATATCTTGAAAGTTTAAATATTTTTATTTAAAGGCTAAAACAATAAGAATCTCCAGAGTTGGGTATCCGTGCAGACATTGGTATTTTTATAACCGAATGCGCATAAATTTCGCAGGGGACTTGAGACAATTTTATCTGACACCGGTCGACTGCACGACACCGTACGAGGCGTTGGGTAGGATACAGTTGCCCAAGAATTTACATGTTCAACAGGAATATCACAGGTTCCATCCGGGTGAGACACGCATCTTGCATACATCATTTATCGTATATTATTATTATTACTATTCGTTCATCGCATCGACGCGCGATTACGAACATTCTCATCACTGTTATTTTCCCCGACAGACACCGACACTATGTTCAATGGCAAGACCGCCTTTCCGCAAAGCTCCACTATCGTGACCGGCCTCAAGTATAAGAAAAAATATCCCGGACACCGACAGGGAAATCCGCACTTGGACGAGATGATGAAAATCTGAACTGTATCGTTGATAAATCAATGTCGGCTGTAGCGGCAAGGAGTGGAAGTTTGAGGCAATAAAATTATTACTATAACACGAGCTGTGTGGAATTCAGACGCAAAATCGGAAGCGCAATCTCATCGATCGCTCCGCGAGTATACGGAGCGATATTTCTGGTCCCCTCATATCGACGGGTTCCGTGGAAATTAACAGTCGCGGCGCATCGCGTAATTGAGGAGCTCTTTCCCCCGGGGGAGCGCTTGAAACGCGTACCTTTTGAGAAAAGTCGAGATTACGGGCGCAGAAAATACGGTGAGCTTTCCAACTTGACGACAGACTCGTTGTTTCTTTCTTTTTCTTTCACGCGCGAGCTGAATAAGTTTTCCAATTCGCACTGTGACAAAAGTTTTTCGCAACTCTGAAACGCAGGAATCAGGTGAATACACAACTGGGATTTCTTAAGAGGGCCTACTGATTAACTAATAACAATTGGAATTCACGGAGTTCAGTTTGACGTAAATAAGATCGGAGAAATATTCGGCACGTGCGTTTACATACGTCGAACAATATTACCCTCTCATGATTTAATTATTCTCTCACTAACTTTCAAAGCACGGCTCTGATTGGTCTCTCGAGGCTCCTGCATCCTCGTCTTGATAGATGACGTCAGAAGCGAGGAAACGTTTCCCCGAAATTCTTGCGGAATACACCGAATTGAAAAGTTACGTTCGCAAAATGTTACTTGTGATCGAGTGAGCACATTTGTAAGATATTCCGAGAACTCTCCTTTTACTCCAGCAATCGATGAATAGCCGTACAATTGACGTGACAAAAGCGTGAGGAAAGGTAGACTGAAAAGAAATGCGTGTCACGTTGACTTTACGGTTATATATTGACTGTCGAAATAAGAGGTCAGTTTTTGGGTTACTTCACAAATGTGCTGAGTCGATTTCAAGGATCACTTCACGGATGTATCCTATAAAATACGCTCACCACAGATTCGAGAAGAGCTCCCCAGCAAACACCAAGTTAACAGTTAACACCAGTTTAACAGTTACATAACTGTTAGTTATAATTTCCTCATTCAACAATGTAAATGCAATATAACGCGTGTGTCATAAAACAGTCACATTGTTGAGTAGGAAATTATAACAGTTGTGTTACTGTTACTTGGTGGTTGCTGGGTCATCATCATGTAATCGAAAGAACTATTAGTCATCTTTACAAGAATATCGTAAAATTTCATCGGGGTAAAAGTTGCTTCGATTCTATGTATTGGGTGAATCGAATTCTTGTCTCGATTTAACATTCCCGATCGATTCACCAAACAGTGAAGCCCCACTACCTGGGATTCAGAGTGTAGTTTGATAGATCTGATGCTCGTGATGAAAAGGCTGACGCGGCAAATTCGCAGATACGCAAATTGTGAGATACTTGAAGCGAGTGTGATATTTACTTAAGCATAGGGTGTGCTTCTACGTGCGCGCGGATCGCGTGCCACGTACTGCGACCTGTGGCATGTGCTGTGCGGCAACGTAACTTCGACCTGATCGACCCATCGGCCACGCGTAGCAACGTGTTGATGATGCAGTATCGACGGGCAAGAACAGGCAAACGGAGCGCGATTTGTTTGCACACACATACACAGAGAAAGAGAGAGAGAGAGAGAGAAAGAAAGAGCGAGTGCCGCAGCGGCGGTGGCGCAGTGGCCGTTACATTTTAACCCGGCGAGCAGTCCGTCCCCGTCTGGTGGAACGTTAAAAAATACATCGTTTGATAAAGCGCTGAAATAATAATCGCGATGCCCGGGATTGCGAGCGCGACCGGTCTCATGTCCGCGCGAATTCGACCAATTCACCGGCCGAAACCGAAGGTAAATAGAAATCACGAGACCTGTTCTATTTCGTGAACAACTTCCTGAACGAGTTCATATACATACAGAGAAAAATATCACTCTATTGTTGAGAAAAAAGCAATTACTCAGTAATTTTACTTTCTTTTGAGAAATGGTTATTTTCAATAAAGAATATTTTCTCGATAATAGTCTTCAAATATCGCTCATCATAAATTTCGGGAAAGCACATTATCATGTAGAGGAAAAATTTATTTTTTACTGTAAAACTTTATCGAAAAAAAAACTTCGCTCAATTCCATTTTGCAATTGAGTATACCAATTTAGGAAGTTCTTTGAAAAAGAACAAGCTGTGCGAGTGAATCGCGTGCTGTGCGAACGCGCGCACATACGATTCCTTTTTAGTGTCTCGTTATTAATTTATTAAGAGATCACGTATGCGTTCACGTAGAACGTGGAATTGTCGGGCTGCGCGAAAGCGGCGCCGTTCGCCCTGCGACCGTTCGCCGGTCTCTTCAATCCCTATCCCTACGGCTGCTCGGTGCTGTGCAACCATCCGGCGGATTGCGAGGCGAAGGAGGTGGTGCGGCGCGCCAAAGACTCATGGGTGAGAAAGATACACGCAGAAAAATGCAGTTCTAAAGTTAGAAAAAATGTTCTATTCGACGAGATCTTTCTTTTAAATTATTGCTCGATGTAAGTTAAAATATTCTTGAAGAGAACAAATTCTTCATTTGAGTAAATGCTAATGAGTTTTCTTCTCAAATTTGTGATTGGTGTATTTTATGATGCGTATATCTATTGTCAAGAAAGTATTCTTACTTAAAGATTGTAACCGTTACTTAAGAGAAGAGAAGTAAACTAAGCAACCGCTTTTCTCAGCACTAGAACGACACTTTTCTGTGTGTACGTTTGCAGTTTCGCGAATGCTAGCGTATAAATTTTAAACAGCTTTTCCCAATTGTACTTCTCCCCAATTAGGCGACCGAGGGGAAAGCGCTGCTGCTGCCGGAGGAGATGGAGATGATACGGACGAGTCTGATGGCGATCGCAGGCGGCGGGGGCGGCAGCGGAGGCGGCGGCGAGGCGGCTGGAAATGTCGGAGGTGGCGATGGTTGCAATATCGAAGCGACGACCGTGCCCGAGGAGCTCTTCCGGAAATACACGGAGACCGACTCGCGACCTCCGACCCCGGCACCCACGCTTGCCAGTGGGCCGGCGTTGACCAATCGCGCGACGACCCAGGAAGATTTACCGGCGACCTGCAATCCGCGCGAACGCACCACCCTGGTCCTCGATCTTCGTGCTGCGAATTCGCAGCAGCAGCAAGTGGTCGGTAGACGTGTTGTAGCTCGCTGAGGGTGTGCAGACCGAGAATGTGCTGCAGTCGAATGCGAGGTGTTATTTGCCGCTATCGCTTTCCTTCCGGCTTTCCTCACTCGAGGATTCGCTCGCTCGGCTTTCAGGAGAGCGAGACCTTCAGCTGGCATGCGCTTACGCTCGAGCCGCCGCCGACGCCACGGAAGAGCGAGATATTCATCTGCAAGCCGATCCCGCGACCGCAACATTCGTCGACGGCACCCGCGCCACCTCCTCCGTCGCCTCCTTCGCCCATCGCTGAAAGATGTGAAACGGTAAGTTCACTTGCTTCCAGGTATCGCGAGAAACCGCCGTGCTCTCATCGCCCGAGATCGTTCTGTCCTTCGGTAAATAACGTTACCGTCGCCAATACGGCTGAAAGAGTTTGTCCAGGGACGACGGAGCGAGGGAGGAGGCCGATAGCGGCAGCAGCGAGCGACCCATAATTATTCGAAGACGGGGAAAGCGGTTGCGTAAAAGAAAGTGTAGGAGGGGCTCTACGTACGGCCAACAAACGGAAGTTCGCGATCTGCTCGAGCCCACGGTGACGCAGGTCTCGCAGATTGGTGGAGACGGATCGAGACGGCCGTCGTTAGTATATCCACACAAATATACGTTTACAAATTATATCGACGAAAAGCATTGTAACTACCTTCTCAATTGAAATCATTCTCTCTCATCTTAGATGAGTCACTTCATAGTAACATGTCTCGCAGAACTTTGTCGTAATTGTGACACGCGTGTCGTTAAAATTATATACAATATACTCATTTTTTTTTTACTAGGAGAATCAAGAAAGAACGAAGAACACATTGAGAGAAAGAAATATTTATTCGCGATGGATATTAATTATACGAATTAACTAAAAATTTCTTTAAAATTAGAAAATATATTTTTTCTTATGAAAGCTTCTTATGAAAGCAATCGTTTATTCTATTTTAGGCTTCTGATCCCACTGCTGCGGAACACTGAGTTGATGACGTCAGAAGCGAGAACATGCATGCGAAAAATTCTTGTCCGCCATATTCAAATAACAAGATATTTGTATAGAAGAACGCTTCAAATAGCATACTTGCAAAATATTCCGAAGATTATTATTTCCCTTTAACAGTCGATAAACAGCCCTAAAAATTACCGTGGCAAAATTACAAGAAGAGATAGATTAAAGAGAAGAGTTGCGTGTCGATGTTAATTTTTTAAAGCTATTTATTGACTATTAATGGAAAAGGATAATTTTCAATTAAAAAATGGATAATTTTCAATTAATGGAAAAGAAGCATTTTAAAAGTATTTTCAAGCTATGTGTGAAGTGTTCTTTCATACAAATATATTTTTATTTGAAAATAGCACGCAATTTTTAGCATGCGTTTTCTCGCTTCTGACGTCATTAATCCATTAGTTCCGCAGCAGTGAGACCAGGAGTCTTAAACAAATGAATTTAGATTGAATATGTTATTAGTACCCATCAAATAAATATTTCTTTATTTTTTGGATATTTTTTTTCTCAGTGTACAAATGAGATTTTTCCACAAATAAGTTTCCAAGCGGTTACAATACTTTTCACTGGCGCCGTGCACATTTCTGTTCATATCGAATGAAAAGTCCATTGATTACGAGAAAAGTTTTTTGACAAAAACGCAATAGGGTTCATACAACAAATACAGCCGAAGCTGATGGTGTGGCGTCTCCCAAGAAGACACCCGCGCCAGCAGCGACTTACACGATGCCTTCGAGTTTCCTGGCACCTGACATTTTGAAGCACTTGTGGAGGGAACTGGATCGCGACAAGGTAGAGGCGGAATTTTCGATCAAAGTGAGTACAACGAATGTAACATCTTTGCGGACAAGCTCTTGCCTTCTCCTCTAGCGCGAAATAATTCAACTGTCTTAGAGACGGATCGCCCTAGAAGAAGCGCTACGAGTGAAAGGCGATGTTTCCTACTCGCGTGTATCTCGCCTGGCCAATACTGGTCTGTCAGCGCAAAACGCACCCCGAATATTCTCCCGTCAAGCGGCGCGTTTCGAGTTACTCGACAGTCAGAGTCTTCGTGGTGCGTATGAATATTTTCAGTCATGTTTTTTTTTTCATTATTCGGAAGCACTTACAATAAGGGATAGAGTAGAATTCTCAATCAAGGCGAGCAAAAGTCTATCGTCTTGACAGATGAATCCCTTCTTACTTGTACTGAACAATTCGCTTATCGCTTTATCGGAAGATCATTGAAAGATCAAGCGCTGTCAGGAGCTACGATCGTTGCAGGATTAACGCCTTTGCGGTACCTCAGCAAGCACGTGTGCGTCACGTCGGGTAGGAAGCTGATATTCGGCCGGATATTCGCTAAATTCAACGAGGAGACGTCGCAAGGAGAACGACGTATCTCGCCGAACGATGTCGAAGAGGCTCTTCAGGAAGTGGTCGGGAAGGCGCTGACGGACGAGCAGCGGTCTTATCTGAGGACCGTGATAGGAGAGATAACGGAGTCGTTGAACTTCAGGGAGTGGTGCGGGTTATGCGCCGCCGTCGAGAGGCTGCTGTGTCCTCTTCCGTCGAAGGTAAGCGATCCGCCGACGTGGCTCGAGAGAGCGGACTTCGAAGCTCTGGAACGGAGACTCAAATCAGCCGAGGTGGATTCTACGTTGGCGTTATTGTTGAAGGAGATTTGTGACAGATAAAATGATGCGTTTCTAATGCATATTCTTTTTTCTTTATCACAGTGATTACTAATTCTATAATGTATTGTAAGTCTCCACGACGTGTTTAATAGTTATGATTATTATTTAATATGTGTAAACTTAAAATAAAACTTCATGGTTCTACAAATGAACCCTGTATACATGTATATGTATGTATATGTATACACACACACACATATATATATACATCTTTCGACCTTTTTTGCACAGTAATTGTACGATAGACTTTGATATTCCAAGCGAAGACATATACAAAAGTATGAGTGTCACTTCGTTCATAGTAAGCTACGAATGATGACTCTATTACGAGATATCTACTATTATTCACTCGTTAACATGCGTAACTATTACGTCGAAATGAAATCGGCCGTCCACAAATGCACTAAATTTCGATCGTGTTTTTTTTTCTTTCTATCTTTCTTTTTGTTCAATATAAAAAATGGACCGTGATTCTCAATTTCCTCTCGTCGACGCTGATATGTAATTCATTCTCGCAGAACTCTGCAATATAGGTCGGACGTTAATTAATTTCACGTGCATCGCTCGCGCGATGCGTCGCGATGAGGCAACACGATTACGATCCGTTTGAACGTAATTTAATGCAAAGATCACGAATACTTACTCGCCCTTAGCGTCGATCTATTGACAACACGAGATGCAGGACGAAAGAAAGCTCTTCAATCTACGTTCATCGCACATTTTATTGCCAGAGCGGATTCGCGTCCACATCCACTCGAGCGTACACACGTTGGCGTCGGTACTCGATCCACTTTTCTTTTTCTTTTTTGGCTAATATACAAACGAGTTCTCTGGTTCGTACTTTCTTCCTTTCTCTCTCTCCCTTTCACTCCCTTTCATTCTCGCACTTAACAACATAATAAATAATGGATCACTTTTGTTATCGCAGGGATAATATAAAACCGGTGTGTCCGTATGTATGTGTGTCTGCATTAGTAAATAAATTAAGTAAACAAAAGCGGTACACTCGTCTGCACAATGAGGTGCGTGCACACTTTCTACGATAAAGGGAACGCATCAAATGGTCAGGATTGCGTTACTCGTGGGCTTGCATGTGTATGACAGAAGCCAAAGTGATAGCATACAAGACATTCAACAACATTCAACTTGCAGTGACAACTGCACCGGAGGATTCAGGAAAATATATTTCTGTCATATTTTTAACCATCAGGCGTAATAAATTGACCGCTATTTATATTATCTACTATTATTCGAGTTTTATAACCGATTACTATGCAAGCCCGTAAGCAATGATTCATAACCGTATGATGCGCTCCAAGTTTCATTGGAATAAAATGTGTGCAGCCAAGCGTTGTGCAGACAAGCGTACACTCATTTGCGAAATGGTTTGAATGCATCTTCTTCGACGCACTTCAGCACGTAGGCGACTTTCAGTGGGAGGAATTGTTCTCTAGCAACTTTCTCAAGACAGATTCTTCAACTGGATGTCGGGTGCACTTTGAAATATGTACAAAAAAGTGTCCAAACCGTTTGGCAAACGAATGTACACGACGCGTAGAAGTAATAAGAGTACGGGGATCCGCGTGGTACTAGTACTTCGTCGGAATAATACGCTATCGGGGGTGTCTCGTGTTCTCCGTGCCGATTGAATTTTTGTTCATCACCCGATGACGTCGGCGTCGTCAGGCTTTCTCTTGGGGCTCGGTCGCTGCTAGTCACTACGTCACATTGCACATACAACTAACGTACAAATATAACGATGCCTACGCGCGAGTCGCGCCAGTGACCAGAAGAGCCGCGGATTAGATGTGTGTGTGTCTCTCTCTCTCTCTCTGTGTATGCGTGTGTTGTATATATCTGTGTGTGTGTGTGTGTGTTCGTGTGGGCGCGCGCTTGCTCGCTCGCGCGCGCCTACCTGCTTGTGGCCCTGGGAACGTACGTACGCGCGATGTACGATACACTACTTGGCTAAAGTCTCTATGATACAGCGCAGCGCTATCCGCCGTACACACAACGGGACTTCCGCGGGACGTTTCGCGCGTTTCTGAGTTTGTGCCAAGAGAGAGAGGGATCATCGTCATCCGCTTACGTCGTGAGCGGCGAGTCGAGAGGCGAGAGCTACTTCCTCCGTGGGAGGAAGATGCGCGTGGCACTACCGTGTGCCGTCGCCGTTACTCATAGGAGACGCCTTTCTTAATGCTTCTCTTCTTCTTGTCGTCTCCGCTGCGCGCTCTCCGTTACCCGTTTAGTATAAAAAAAGTTGCTGCTGCTGCTGCTGCTGCGGGGCAGTGGGACTGGTGGAGTATGACGGTGCGTCGCACTTGACAGCGACAATGGGCTAGTTGCCGTTCGTGGATCGCTGCGTCGCCGGGATCAAGGCGTCCCGCTCAGTCCCGTAGATCTTGCCCGCTTTCCTTGCCATATTGCCGAGCATCTCCATTGAGCATTTGTGCGCCGATCTCAACGAGAGCGCCCATTCTTTCAAGCTTATCTCGTCCTAGGGACAGACACATTTTAAAAGGCAGGGTTGCGTCGCCAGCGACAGAAACAAAATCGAAAGGATTCACTCACAGCATTTGTAAGTACGATCTTCGCGTCTCTCGTACGTACTACGATGCACTGTTCCCCTTTCACGTGCTGCAGATCCGCCCCAACCTCCTCGACCTGAAGGAAAACGAAGAAGCTGATTAGCTCTCTCTTTCTCTCTTCTCATCGTGTATGATCGAACGCGACGAACAGAATGCGTGTGAGGGACGCTTACCTGATCAAGAAACACGAGCTCGGGCTTAGTTGCGGACTCTGGATGTAACTCTAACCGATTCGGGTAGAGTTTCGCGTAGCGTGTCTGCCATGTGCTCGCAAACGGGCCTCCCAATTTCCTTATGTAGCCGTGTAATATACAATCCGAGCCTGCAAGAAGCACGAGTCATCGGCGCTGCATTGATACGCTCTCGAGTGACGTCTTAGAATGGAGTTATCTAACCAGGCAGACAAGCAGCTCTCTTTGCGTAAGAGAGAGAGAAAGAGACGCAGAGCGAGAGGCGCTCAGCTATTTTACAACACACATCAATACACAATACTCTTTTCATCACAGACACACTTACCCTTTTCATCTGCGTCAAAGTGTTGCTTCTGCTTCGCCTTCTTCTTATTTTCCAGCTGCAACGCAATAGATGATGACAGCGCGCGCGCAAATACATGATGGCGAGTTGCAAGCGAATGACGAATAGAAATACATTGGATTGTTAAGATGAATTATTTATCGCGTACCTTGTCCGCCTCGTTATTGATTGTCTCAAACACAGTCTCGGCTACTTCAGCCTGCCATCTCTCTGAGATGACTAGAGCAAAGTTTTTGTATAGATCCTGATCCGCGTCGGTCAACTTGATACCTTTCGTGTCCTCCTCGTCGAAAGAGCCGATGTCGAAGGCATCCGCGGCGTTGACCTCGCCGCGCGGCGGTATTAAGGGCGGCGTGTACTTCTGAAGATACACCTGCTGCCAATCGATACCGCTGAAAAACGGGTGTTCCTTAAGCTCATCCGCGCCGTTTCCACGGCAGCCGAGCCGATTGTTGATGTCTCGTTGAAGCAGACCTTCTAACAGTGACCGTAACTCCCGCGAGAACGTCTCCGGCAGCTCCACGTTCTGCAATGGATGCGAGTGACATGTTAGTATGCAAGACTGAAGCGAGTCGTCGAGCGTGCGAGTCCCCAAGATCCTTCTCAACTTACCATGGTTAACGTCATACGGTCTATCTCGTGCTTGTCCTTGGTCTTGTGTTGTCTGAATGGGCTGTGTCCTTTCAGTAGCTTGTACAGCATACAGCCGAATGAAAACCAGTCTGCGCTCGAGTCGTACGCGGTACCCTTCGAGAGTACCTCCGGTGCCATGTATCCGTGCGTGCCGCTGTGATAAAAATATTCATAGAGAGAAGAAAGAGAGAGAGAGAGAGAGAGAGAGAAAGCGCGCGCGAGTTAGAGCACCTTGCGTCATCATACGCCGAGGATCGTTTTCTACTACTCCTTCTTGGCTGGACAAGATTATACTCACACGCTCGCATGCGGTTTCTTTTTGGAGAAGTCGCATGCCAATCCTAGATCCGATATCCTCACGTGGCCATGCTCGTCCAGCAGTATGTTCGCCGGCTTGAGATCGCGATAAACGATGTACCTGCGATGCATGTGTTCCAAGCCCAGTATCACCTCCGCGGCGTAGAACTTCATTTCCGGCTCATTAAAGACACCGTGTTGGCTCAGGTGGTAGTGCAGGTCGCCGCCGTTCATCAGGTCCAGTATGAAGCACAGCTTATCGGCCGTGTGAAATGCGTACGTCATACATACTATGAACGGACAGTCCATCTGCGGATGACGATGGATCTGCGTGAAATCCCGTGCACGTCCGTGATTCACGGGCTTAGGTAACCACGGCGAAGGTAAACACACTCACCCCGGTGCTGACTAGCGAGAGCATTATCCTTTCGTTGAGCGCTAACGTTTCGCCCTGCTTCATCTTAATGCGTTTTTTATCCAAGCATTTCATGGCGTACATCTTGCCGGTGTCCGCTTTCCGGCAACCGTACACTTCGCCGAAGCCGCCCCTCCCGATTATCCGATGCACGCTGAAGTCGCTCATCGTCAGCTGCAATTTCATTATACACATGACACTATTCGATCTTAGAAGATACGTCTCCTCTGATGTGTGACTGATGAGTGTGTTTATACCTGGATATTTAGCTCTAGATTCTTCCATTGGCAAAATCGGGTATACTTATCGCTGGAAACATATGCAAATATTTTTCAGACGTTACGTATATAACACGTTAACACGCGTGCACCTTTGACGGGCGCAAAGAGTATCTTTTCCAAGCTAAGAACTGTTTGTACCTTTCCAAAAACTTTTTAAACGGCTCCCCCCGCAGGTGATTGAAAATCTCCTCGATATACGGCTGCAAACAGAAAGACACTCTTCATCCACTTGTCATCGTTGCGCAGAAACGCGCACGCCGGCCAAAGCTGCGTGACAACGATCACCTACCTCGAACAAGTTGACTGGTACTTCATTCTTCATGAGATACTTGTGCACGTGTGACACCGCCTCCTGCGAATACTCCTGCAAAAGACAGATATGTCGCACGTATGTAGTAATTGCTCATTACAGAGACGACAACAGAGAATCCCTTTGTCGTCCTCGCATGAGTGTGATCGATGACTGAGGTTGAAAGGCTCCCGTTATTCGCGGAACGAAAACGTTCGAGAGGAATCAAGTCGAGATAAAAACACGTCATCATGTGACATGTCGTGAAATCCTCTCTTTCTCTCTGTTTTTCTATCTCTTTCTGTCTCTATCTGTCTGTCTGTCTGTCTGTCTCTCTCTCTCTCTCTCTCTCTCTTTCTCCTCTTCTCCTGTCTCTTTCTTTGCTTCACTATTTCTTGCCCAAAGATGACGTGACGTCTTCGATCACACGTCACGACGCGTTCGAGTGCTCGACAAAGAGAGATTCCTCCTCCATTCGGTCATCGCCGAGTCACGGCAGAGGAAGAACGAGCGAACGTGTCAGCTTACTCACGTGAGAATGCGCCAGCAACTCCTTCATAATGTAATTGTCGTAGATCTCCCTGGCGAGTTTTCTCCTGTCCTCCGGACATTCGAGCTTCTCGTACGCTTTGATCTACAATGCAGAAACGTAAGATGCCATTATGGAGTTGGCCCGGCGTCGACGCACCGCGCGACTGCTACTACTCGAACTTAACTAGTGTAGCGGGTTGTTAAAACACGAACCTCTTCGTAAAACCTAAGTTGCGGATTCGGTTCCTCCGCTACAGTCTCGCAGAAGTCTTTGAATAAAAGGTAACCTGGAAGTACACACGTGGAGTTTGGCTTGACATCGGCGAACTTTCAGTGATCAGTATCGTTTCGGCGCCGCGCCTAGCCGCGCCGCTCCATCGACTACGGGACGACGACGGCGAGGACGTCGCCATCACTACATCCTACTTTACGCGGAACGCAACAATTCCGCGCGGACGACATATGTATGCGCGCAAACTGTCGCGTGTCTGATAAAGGTAACGCCTTTTCCAGGTCATCTCCCAATCAATTCGCACGCGTCATTTCGCGACGGTAAAATCGGAATGAATTATTAAATCGCGTTGTTAATCGGGACTAATTTGCGATCGAGAATGAAAATACGACGCACGAATTAGCGTTTTATAACGCGATAACGAGGACACAGTGTGGCAAATACATTCAATTAGCGCGATTTATTAAAATGCGAATCGATTACTTCCGTCGGATTCGCGATGATGAATGCGCGCGACATTCACGTAGCCGCGCCGGGCCACTCATGACGAAGACGAATCGTAAGAGAATTATTCCGCGTACAATAACGCAACCGCGGCTATGTTTGCCTCATGAATAATGCATGCACGCATCTTATATATTTGCGTCAATCGGAAAGAATATGCTAATATCCAAGAGAAGCGGCACCGCATATACTGGACTGTTTTATTGAACACAAATAAAAACGGCGCGAGATACGGGATTATGTTGGTCTCATCGCCGCGCGCGCCTCCCGACAATCGTCCTCGCGAATTTACGAACCGACGGAGATCCTACACAGAGAAAAATATCATTCTATGGCTAGGCAAAGCGATTACTACTTTCCTTCTCTTGAGTAATGGTCATCTTCACAACACAAACAATACCTTCTTCATAGTAATTTTGAAATATATTCGCAAATTTTACTGCAATAACTACAAATTTGAAAAAAGCTCATTATTATATACGCAGAAGTAGAATTTACTCCCTTCACAAGAATATGTATTGTGAAGCTTTATCAAAGAAAAAGTCGGCTCGGCTTTATGCGGTAAGCAAACTGAATTTCTGTTTTAATTTAATATTCTTCATTGAAATGCTGAACTTACTAGCTTTCAGAATATATTTTGAATAAATTCGATGTTTATGATATATCCAAAAAAAAAAAATATATATAATGTTGTCTTTAGTGAAATCTTCTTATACATGGCCTCAGGAGGATTCCTCTAAAACCAAAAGGAAAAGCACAATATTCTTAAAGTTGGAGGAATTTCGGCTTTTATGTATAGTACAAGTCTTGTTTTTGACAGAGAAATGTCTTTTAGTACATTGAGAAAAGAGGTTAAAGAGAAAGGTTGCATGTCGCAGACAAGCAAAGATTACGATTATTTATTGATTGCTCAAACTAAAGGAAAGTATTCGAACTATTTCAATTGATTATTATTTCAATCGACAGTTCATTTCATTAAAAAAGGAATACTCTTTTGGCAAGAATGGTTTTTGCTTAGAATACGGGATTACAGGAAACAGTACCTTGCAACTAGATTTCTTATTTTTTGGGTGTTAAAATATTCTCCTTTTGATTTCAGAAGAATCTTCTTGAGGCCATATGTATAAGAGGATTCCGCCAAGAAGAAGATTATATTTTTTTCGGATGTATATCTGCGGATATATATGTATAAACCTGCGAAATACTTGGAACACGTAACATTAATTTGAATGCAGCATGTACCTTTCTGTGTGTACGCCAACTATACTCTGAGTTTCTTTGCTTTCTCGATGATCTCGAAGGATAATCGAAAGGCCCGCAAGAGTCGCGACGCGGACAAAGACGATAAGGGAGGAAAGAGAAGAAGAAGAAGAAGAAGAAGAAAGAGAAGAAGGAAAGCCGAGGGGGAGCTAGCTGACAGGATGGTTCTCTCGACTTACTCACCTAACATTTGATTAAATATTTTGTCGAAGTTCACTTCGTTCTTCTTCTCCAGATACTTGTGCATCACGCTCCGCACGCTGAAACAGAAAATACACTTCCATTAGCGTGTTGTGTGGTGCGTCGCGACGTGATCCGGCTTATCGACAGCGTCGTGCGCGCGCGGGAGGAATATATTAGCGCGCTCGGCTCGGCAGCGCAATTCGAAATTTCCATATGCCCCGCCGTATATCACCGCAAAATTGATCAATATGTAAAACACTAGAATTACAGCCATATAGTCCGTACGTCGCGCACGTATCGTCGTCGATAACGACCCGCGCGCGCAAGATCGTTCCGCGTCGGCTCTCTCTCTCTCTCTCTCTCTCTCTCTCTCTCTCTCTCTCTCTCTCTCTTAATTCTCCTCTTTTCCCTTTTTCACAGCTGTGGCTCGGATAACAAAGCGCTCGCTCCGCGATACCGTTGACATAATAGCATGCGAATTATTCGACAGAATTCTGCGTATACGCAGAACACTCCGCGCGCAACTCTTTCCAATTATCCAAATGACTCACGGAGTACGAAAAGTACGTAGGTGTGTAAGGCTCGAGTCAGTCCGCTACATTATTATTGTACGGAGAAGACAAGGAGAAACAGAGTGAGAGGGTATGAGAGGGCGAGAGAGAGAAAGAGAGACGCGCGCTAAAGAATTAAATTAATTTTAACTCTTATCTAAGACTATGAATTAATCTTAAATAAACGGCGGAGTGGCATAATGGATTATTAGGATCTAAGTAATTCTTGGATTAGATATTGATCCATCTGTTCTTATCACTAATCTATGAATGTTTTTGCTACTTATGAAATCGAAAGAAATTATAATAAAGAAACAAAACACACACATGTTTTGAAGAACGGTAACGTTGGAAAAGTTGATTCGGATAAATTTTACTATGTTTAGGGCTCTAGGGTTAAACAGATGACACAGAAGGAATTTATATCTAAACTATTTGTGAAATTTGGCAAGAAAGTCTCTCTTTATGGAGCCCACCCAGATTAAATCCAGTCGTATTTCTTACAAAAGTCACTGTGGTAGACAAAAAAGACCAGCGACAAGGGATGAACGAACGTATAATCCTCACACCCTAAATGTGCTTGCGGATATTGCTGGAACGCCGCTGCTGTAAATTCAACATACCACGGGCAATTTTCTAGCAGATACAAAAAACAGCGATAAATTTAAACTGCGGCCACTCAGAATTCCACCTGGACCAGGGAAACATCGTTTTGAGGGGACAAATTTGCTCTAATTTATTGAAACATTCGCTCATACCGCCAAAATCCAACCCAAGCCCGAGCGAGACATTCACCCTTGCGATTCCGAGTGGCGGTTGTGTTTTCACTGTCGCTTCCAGTGAAAATACTGTCACTTTTCACTCGTTTTGAGTGAGATGCCACTCCGAGAGATTTAGAGGGTAAAGAATCGCCCGTCCCTAGTCGCCAGCACCGTGTTCTTGCTCACCGAACGAGATATCATATTCGGTGAATAATGTAATCTTCATGTGATCACGGTGACCTTTGCGTGAGAAGGTGTGCCGGCCGAGCGTCCGAAATCTTCGCGACATTCTTCGAGATTGCTCACCGCCGATGAATAAGGTATTCGAGAATTCCCACCGTCGATCGCTCGGCTGGCTCCGGTTGGCAAAGGCCAAATAGTAATTATCGCCGACGACGACGACGACGACGACAACGACGACGACGGCGGCGGCGGAGACGCATAACACACGTATATTAATGTTGACATTTGAATCCGGTGCCGTCGCGGCCAGCACGTCACATAACCCACGCGAGAGTACACGCGCGCTTACGCAAATGCCCGATAAAAGAGAAACGCCAGAACCCGGTCGAGCAATCGGCCCAGGCCGTAAACTCACTGGCTGGCTGGTCGGACGGCCGGCCGAAGTACATACGTCGCACGCACGTAGCATCGCGGTCAATTGCTTCGCGATGGATGCACCAAGGCGAGCCGATGCAGCTGCAATTGGTAATGCCAGCTATTTCAGTCGAGTGACTAGGCGATTTGAGAAAAAAGAGAAAAGGCGTGTTCGCTCGCTCGACCGCTGGGAAACGGTGCAACGCGCGGTGTGCGATAACAGTAGCGTAATCAATGACTCTCGAGAGAAGATAACGCGCCGGCGAAGGGAGTGTACGTCCAACGTATGTACATACGTTCTCGTAATTCTCTCTCTCTCTCTCTCCTTTTCCCTCTCGCGCGAGCGCGTCTCTTCCCAGTGACGCTTTTATTTTCGACTCGCGTTGTGAAGTCGAGTTAAAAAAGGCACACGCTGCTGCGAAAACTTGTTTGCCGCAGCAGCCTGCGCCTTTGAACAATCTTACGGCGAAGACGGAAGAGAGATGTGCCTCCACGTAGAACGTTTCTCAATTGGAACTCCGACAGAGAAACATTCACTCAAAAAGAAGGAATGGTTTTGCAGTCGTAACGAAAATACATCTAGACACGAGAAGTTAGAGAATAAGACAGATGAATGATCAAACAAACGCTGCGATGTCGTATATGGTTTTTGTATTTAATATAGATTACAGAGACAGAGAATTTCTCTGTGCGGAAACTACTAGTGAAATTCAGTAAGAAAGGTCTCTTTGTGACGCCCTTATCCAGATTAAAACCAGTCACACTTCTTATGAAAGTTGACCGTAGTGTACAAGAAAGACCAGTGACGAGAGACAAACGAATATATAATCCCTTCTCCACTCACTTATTAAATTTGCTTACAGATATTGCTAAAATGCTACTGCTGTACCATCTTGTGTACCACAAACAATTTTAGCAGGCTTTTTCAACAGTTGCACAATTTTAAGCAACTTTTGAGGAAATTGAATTAATCCTCAGAAAATTTCTCTTGAGAATACAATCATTCACGAAACGAAGAAATACTAGTTCATAGTAGCATCATAGTAGTTTTTTGCTCGGCTAGGATCTTATAAATAATTTTTTTTACTTCCTCAGGGTATGTATTTATATATGAGAAATTTTTGAAAAAGAGCGAAGGAGAAGAAAGGACTCCGCGCAGAAATAATTTTTCTCAACAAATATGGGATTTTTCTGCGTAAAAGCTGGAAAGAAAGAAATATACACACATCAGAGCGAAACCGAGTTTACTGTGTGCCTGGAATCGAACCCCGTGACCTTCCCGCTTGCGGAGCAACCGTCCAATCGACTGAGCTAACCAAGCTCTTGCGTCGATCTTTTTGCTCTCTTCCTTTTCTGACTTAACTGTCAAAATGATATGACGGTCCAATTGCTTACAACCGAATCTTTCTATACTAGAAAGATCTTTCACACATTACTCTAAGGTTAATAAAAATTTCCGGGATTAAATACGGGTTGTAAATAAAAGATATACTACTTCGAAGTAGTCCGAGTTGTGCGTCGAAAATACACGTCAGTATGGAACATTCTCTTACTTTTCTAAAATTTTTTCGTCGATATGGTAAATACCTTCAGGTTAAAAAATATGTCTAAAGAAACTATTGGTTTCTTGCTAACATATGTAACTAAATTTTCGCTTTTAAATATGCATATATTCTAGTCGCGCAATACACAAGCCTGGAAAATTATATCATTACTATGCTAAGTCTGGAAATTTATATTATTACTATACTATGTTAATCAAGGAAAATTTTTTGCATGCATATATATGCTTGAAAAAATATACAATTATTCCTGAATTATAATTTAGAAATATTGCAGTACGAAATATTAGGCATTCACGATATGACAATGCGTTGATAAATAAAACAAATATAAAAAAAACAAATGTAAAAAAAACAAATGTAAAATTTATGTACTATTCATTGCTTAAATTTTATGTACTATTCATTACTTAAAAATCTCTCTCTTTTTGTTTCTCTACTTTTCACTTAAATTAGCGATCATCCAACTAATTTGATAATCTAAATTGGAGCGCTTTGTTTAAAAATGTGGGGATATTACAAAATGTTATTATATTATGAAGAATATTGAGGTTTGCGACTTTGTTTTCAAGTACTGTGAAATAATTGTGCAAATCGAAAGTATCGCAAACAAATATCCCACGTTTTTTATCCAATTCTGGAGAAATATTCTTTTGAAATTACATCCCGACAACCGTTGCGTTATGGCGAATTATTTTGGCGCAGTTATTATTACATTACGTATCAAAATTACACTTCATCTCGTGATGCTGTTATTGTACAATGATTGGGCAATTTATTCTCCCTATCGGAGAATATATCGTTTTCACTTAATGTATCGACGTTAACATCAAACAAAGTGCTTTTCGCGACGACGTCCTTCCCTCCCTCTCCCTCTCTCTTTGTCTCTCACACACTTTTGTCTGTCTCGCACGCGAATCGGAACCGCCGGATTTTGATGACACTCGGTTTTAGCGGCGAATCGGCAATTAATAGTCGCGCTGCCGTCGATTCTCACTCCTCCTCTATTCGGCGTTAATTGAATCCCGCCTCGTCGGCAGCGTGACTCCCTTATTTATGCAATGACATCTCAGGGGCTGGTCACCCGTGGAGATCTGCACCAAGGGCGCGCGATATCTCGCTAAATTATACAATCGGAAGGTCGCCGTGCCGATCGAACGACAGCAAGACGGCAAGACGGCGACGTGAGACTCTTAATTTCGCGCGCATGCGAATCTCTCTCTCTCTCTCTCTCTCTCTAAAACGCCTTTCGAAAGTCTCCGCGAGTTATTATGCAAAACGGCTACTTATAAGGCAAATATGAAAATTTATTCTCGAACGCCTCGCCGTCGCCTTCACGGACTTTTACTCGGCGCTGATGTAAAAAAAGGCGTTTTATCACTTGCGTCTCTCTCTTCCCGCTCGCCCATTTAGCCCGGCAATCTCATAAACGCGCGATATTATTCGTCTATTAAGTTAACGCGGCAAGTCGCCAGCGCGTTATCGTGAAACTGGCTAAAGTGGCCGCGTCTCGTTGGAATTTCGAGGATGTTTACGGACAAGGGCGGAGAGCCGGAAACGACTCGGGGACGAGAAGGCCCTCTTGCGGCCGCCATATATAACTCCG